ATAATAAGCCCAAGGCCATATTTTGTGGGGCAAAAGAAAATAAGACCCTGTCGTATTTTGGGGGAAACACGATACATATATACATACATACATACATACATACATATATACATACACATTAAACCAATCAATCAATCAATCAATCAAAATATCTCTCTCTTGCATTACCATCCACTACAGATCTGCAGGATTTTTCCCATCGTTGATCTGTTCTGCATAACTTCCTGATGCCTCACTGCTTTACAATTGCATACCCAGTGATTAGGCTGTCCTTGAAATGAAGTGTCTAGAAAAAAAGAGTTTGTTTTAATCTTTTAGGGTGCTATTGTAGCTGTCACTGGAGATGGTGTGAATGATTCCCCTGCTTTGAAAAAGGCAGACATTGGTGTTGCTATGGGCATTGCTGGGTCAGATGTCTCTAAACAGGCAGCTGACATGATTCTACTGGATGACAACTTTGCTTCTATTGTTACTGGAGTTGAAGAAGGTAAATAGCTAACTCAGTTTTCTAAATTGAAGAACTTGTCTCCCTCCTCTTCTTCAATGTTATAGTCTGAGTCCCCAAATTCTGTGTGGAACTGTATGTCCTTGAAGAATATAAAACTCCCTGTTTGATACAGGGAAAAGTAGCCATTTTGTATTCTAAAGAGTTTGTGCAAGAAGGAAGGTTGGCCTCAAATGTATGACAATCTTCTATTTGCTTTCATTTTAAAGTGCTCTTTATTTTTAGGTCGCCTGATTTTTGATAATCTGAAGAAATCAATTGCTTATACTTTGACCAGTAACATTCCTGAGATTACGCCTTTCCTTATCTTCATAATTGCCAACATCCCCCTACCGCTGGGGACAGTCACCATCTTATGCATTGACTTAGGCACCGATATGGTAAGTAAAATTTATTAATTAATATTGCAACTAATCCCCTCAACCTCATAGAATGAGTCACACAGTATATTTCTGTTGCACAATTTTTGCAGTGAGGCCAAACGCTTTTTCAGGGTGAATGATACTGATTCATATATGAATCAGCATACAGTCTATGAAGCTTAATTTAATTCTGCAACTTCTCTTTCCTGCTCCAAAGGTTCCTGCAATATCTCTGGCATATGAGCAAGCGGAAAGTGACATCATGAAGAGGCAGCCCAGAAACCCCAAGACAGACAAACTGGTAAACGAAAGGCTGATTAGCATGGCTTATGGCCAAATTGGTAAGTGGAGAGGCACCCGCCTGTATCTCCTTCGGAGTGAATAGAGAGGGCATTTTTTTGTGGAAAGGCAAATGCTCAAAGATTTAGACAATGCTTTACATGGGAAAAGAGATGGCAGACCTTTTAAAGTACTGCATTATTTTAATGGAAGGCAAGCAGGAAAGTTGAAAGAGTTTACATAAAATCTAAAATAGGTGTAGGGCAGTGATTCCCAAACTTGGCAACTTTAAGACTTGTGGACTTCAATTCCCAGAATTCTCCAGCCAGCTCTGCTGGCTGGAGAATTCTGGGAGTTGAAGTCCACAAGTCTTAAAGTTGCCAAGTTTGGGAACCACTGGCGTAGGACATGCCATTCATACTATTCTGCACTTCTCCTATGTACTTCCCCTCCCCCAAGTTATATTTTACCCATTAGAATTTAACTTTTTTTGGGGGGGGACGACTGCGGAAACAGTGAACCCCCACCCAATTATCCACTGTGACAGATTTTCTAACCTCACATATAGAATGTGGCTTATATCACTTTGAACTTCAATGCCACAGCTGTGGAAGTATCCAGAGCAGTCTGGACTAGTTTTCAGAGATCAGTTTCTATTGATATGGCTTGCAACACTCTGCATTTCCTCATATGCTAGGGAAGGTGTGCACTCTTGCACTTCTCACATGAAAAAGTGCAATTGCTAATAGCAATCGAGTTAGTATATGTAGGATTGTGGCTGATAAGGAGGCTCATTAATCATCACCTGTATACTATAGAAATTTAGGGTGCTAATAATAGTGAAAGCTAACATCATTAAGGGAAACTGCAAAAGAAGGTACATTGTATTGTACAACTAAGGAAAGGACAGGTGAATTCTTCAGTGGGAAAGGTGAGTAGAAGTACTCACTAGGGAGATAAATAGGAACCAACTAGATGTTGGGACTAGGGTTAACAGCTGGGTGAGAGGTACCTTTAAGAGGCCAGTGCTGGTTCCTGGAATGGCCATCTTGTATAGCCCTCTGTACAGTTATGTTGTGCAAGAGACCTTAGAAAAACTATAGTCCTTCGACATGATGAAGATAGACTTTGCTGGAATTTGGAAAGTTGCAGTCTTGTATATTTTTTCTACAAAGATCAGTATAGCAATAGCTGCTATTTCATCCTTAATAAGTTTTTATGCAAATAGATCATTTGAATAAATGTGTACTACAAAAATGATTCACGCTTATGTTAATTGGAAGATGGGGAGATATTTTCAGCTTCATGAGATGGTTTTAAGATAACATACAAAAGAGACGCCCATGTTTTTGGAATGTGTGTGTTCCAAAAGTACTGCTAACATTTGCTCACCTCTGTCTTATTTGTTTAGGGATGATCCAAGCCTTGGGTGGCTTCTTCACATACTTTGTAATCCTCGCAGAGAATGGCTTCTTGCCATACACTTTACTGGGGATTAGAATGAAGTGGGATGATCGATGGGTAAATGATGTGGAGGACAGCTATGGACAGCAGTGGGTGAGTTTGTGTTTAGCTCTAGGGGATTACTGCCAGACATTACTAAACCCCATGCCCATTGGATCTTTGTTTCATTGGCAGTAAGGAGGAAGCCCAATAACCAATTCTTTTCCTCTTAATCTTCTTTAGACTTATGAGCAAAGGAAAATTGTAGAATTCACTTGCCACACAGCATTCTTTGTCAGCATTGTAGTGGTACAATGGGCAGACTTGGTTATCTGCAAGACCAGAAGGAATTCTGTCTTCCAGCAAGGAATGAAGTAAGTAGCAGACTCTTAACAAGGACATTTTTTCCCCCTGTGGCCCTTGCATTGTTGAATATCACACAACCTGGAAGTAATGTAGGCCAGCAGCCTTGGGAAAATGTTTGCAAGCTTGAAGAGCCTGCAACATCAACTTTGATCTCTTAATGTTTCCACAGGAACAAGATCCTAATATTTGGTCTCTTTGAAGAAACTGCTCTTGCTGCCTTCCTCTCTTATTGTCCAGGAATGGGTGTTGCCTTGAAAATGTACCCATTGAAGTAAGTAATAAACCTGAGTAATGTTGGGCCTTTGAAGTTGATAATTAGCTCATCTATTCCTCAGTTGCTATTACTGGATTTAGCATAATTTTGATTATTTTTAATTAAAGGAATGGGTCTGGGCTTCCTCTGAATTGTATGTTCATCCTTGTTTTTGAAGCTTCTGAGCTTTTGCTAACCATCAATTATGTCATACAGCTATGTACTACAACTATTTTTTTTAACCTTGCAGACCTTCATGGTGGTTTTGTGCTTTCCCGTATTCTCTTCTCATCTTTGTCTATGATGAAGTAAGAAAACTAATCCTCAGACGCAGCCCTGGAGGTAAGCAACTATTTACTCAACAACATTCTATGGTGCCATAGAATGTTGTGCTAGACTCTTTGTGCTAATCTAGAAAGCTCTCTAAGAATTCAGTCATGAAACATAAATATAATCATCATCATCTTTATGAATGAGAGGTTCCTTTTAATACCTTGGAAGCCCAGGTGTTGACATGAATTTACATTATAACATTATATTTAACTTATTCACCTGTGCTTTGAGAGCTCAGTATTGTGTGTTCTCTAATTTGTTGTTGATATCAAGGATTAATCTGGTATTTAAACTATGATATATACAACTTGATGTCTTTGTTCTTGTCCTCTGTAGGCTGGGTGGAAAAAGAAACCTATTACTAAAGGACTGCTGGACCAGAGGTAGTTGCACTCTTGGCCTCCTTCCATTCTTTTGCACCTGAAATGCAGGAAGAGGGAATCTTTGGAGGATGAAAGCAACTGAGAGTGAAGAAGAATAATGCAATGGAAAAGATGGGTAGTGTTAATATAGTCCAGGCTTTGGGTGGAAAAAAATCTACAGAGTCACAACAAGAACAAGGAAAAATAGCCACATGCTGTATAGCTCCACAGGTTTAAGTGGAGTGGTATTGTTGCTTATAAAATGAGTAATAAAAAGTATATTAAAATTCACTTCTATAACTTGCTGATGTTCCTTTTCTGAAGTATACTTATGATCAGGAAGAGAGTTTATGTAACCAAGAATCCAATATAACTTATCAGCCTGGGATTTAAGGTGTGGATGACTAATACTACAGGACCAGCAGTTCAAAGGCAAGGCACAAGAAACACTGTTTAGGCAGGTCAATTAGGCAGGTCAATTAACATTCCTTTTAAAAAAACCTGAAAAGGCACATTAAAAATACATTAAAAACGGAGATGTCTCTGTGCTCGTTCAACATCTCAAAAGCTTTCCTAATCCTTTTGCTAATGATGCCTTGAGGAATTGCTATGCGATGAATTGCAGGCCAGCTGATCTCTGTGGGCTGATGGGGAGCCACCTTCTCACAGGACAGCCTTTGTTCCCACAACACAAAGAACTTGGTTCTTTTCTGTACCTCAGTCAAGCTGTTTTCTGCCATGCTTCAAGGATACAGTGAAGAATAGGTCAGTTAGGGATCAGATGACTTGTCCTCATGCTCCACACCACCTTCCCTCACAAAAGCCAATACACACTTGGCTGTGCATGGAGCTGGCAGTTTCTGATGCTAGGACTGACTTCAGTGGAACACAAAACCAAGGTCTCTCCGTTCTTGTTAGAGCTGAGAAGTCCACTGCCAGTCTCCAAGCACACAGAGTGGTATCCCAGGCAAAGGAAATGCTTTTATTTTGGTGCTGGATTTCTTCCTAATTTCAGCAGGTAAATTTGCAGAGTTTTGGAATGAGTGGAGTGAACAAGTGGTTTCCTCAGACTTGCAAGTCCTGACAATATATCAGAGAGAAATTTTGAAACTAGTTAGTGCAAGGCTTCTGGGCTAATTCTCACAGAAGGTTAGTTTTATAGGGGCATTACAGAATTCCTAGGAATCAGGAAGGCTTTTAAGGCAAAAATGAGACCCTTGAAACAAAATCAGTCTATAGGCACAAGGGTACAATTATGGGAAGGTAATGCATAGTCCTTAATAGAAGGAGAATCTAACACGTAAGAATTGGAAGGAATCTGGTAGTTCATCTATTCCAGCCCCCTGCAGAAACCCACTAACTCATTCCCAATAGGTTGCTATCCAGCTCCACTTGAAAAGTTCCAGTAAGGGAGTTACTGGTGTTTGTGGTAAAGGTCAGACTTAATCTCCTTTTTAAAAATTTCTATCGTAGTGCCCTTCATTCAACATGTGCTGTTATTTTAATGGTTCTCCTTAGGATTTGTAGGTGTGATGACCCAGGGTGAGGCACGGCAGCAACACAGCCAGTTCTAACTCCCCTTTATTGCTCCAAACGTCCCCACTGCAAGTCCTGGAGCAAAGCTCTCATGCATCTCCGACAGCCTCTGGCTGCAAGTAGCCCAGGAATCCCAGTTAGCGCGGCAGCAAACAAGGCAAGGCACACAAGATAAAGCACAGCAACATCCAGATGTCAGCAACTGTACTAGAGGCTCCACAGATTCAAACCTTCTTCCCAACAAATGCCCCTCCCAACAGTGTCACTTTAAGTTTCAGTCCTGAGATGAGCCTTGTGAAGAGGGGTGGGACACTCTCCTCCCAAGTCGTTGGGTCAGCCTGTGCTTCTCTCCCATGCCCAGGGATCAGGAGGGAACAGTCCTTGCTCATCACTGGACCTTCATTGCTCCACTGCCTGTCCTTTCTTCCTCCCTCTCTCAGTTGTCCTGTGCCCTTTCTTCCTCGCTGGCAATTCTTTCCAGGGCCAAGGGACCCAAGGCTGCCTTCTCCTGTTCCTTCGGTCATTCCTCCGGAGCCAATGAGGCTGTGCCCATTTCCTCCATCAGCCCCAGCTCCGGTTTCTCCTTCGCAGAATCAGGCTCTGATGTCACGTATCATTCTGGCGGTTCTCCTGTCATTCCTCTACATAGACAATTCTTTTAGATTGTCCATCTCTGTTTTAAAGGTCCATGGACAGAACGGGATACAATAAAGAGCTCAAATGTGGTTGCATTGCTACAGAGTACAAAAGAACTACAGTATTACCTCTCCCAAATTGCCTTAGCCTGCACATAATTTGGTTTCTCTCCCTCTGTTCTTCAAAGAAATGCCATCTTCTATTTATGCAAGTTGCCCACAAGCATATCATGAGAAACCCTGTCAAACTCAGATCAGGTTATGCTAGGTTATTTAACCACAGTCTTCACTTGGCCCATCAAACTAATCACTAAATCATAAAAAGAGATCATATTAATCTGACAATCTTATTCTTGAGGAACTCCTGCCAGTTTCTGGTAAAGATGGCTTTAAGTGACTTGAAATTCATCAGTGTAGCCACAGGACAGGGCATCTGCAATAGAGTTCATCAGGTCTCCTTGCCAAATGGCATGCTGTGTCATTCAAATGGCTTGTCTGGTCTAGAAAGGCTACGAGCGAGTCAAGATAGAATACTAGCATTTCAAAATTGGAGGTATTGTGCGACCTTCCTCATTCTCCATCTATGGTAGTTGTTCTCTGGTTTTTTTTAAAGTCAGAGTATAAGACAGTTGAGTATAAAGTAGTCTGTTCTCCCATAACACTCAGTGGATGAGGCAGAGTACAGAGCCATCCATTAATTTCTACAACAACAGAAACTTTTACTTTAATAAATAGCAGTAAGGATCCAGATCTGCTGATTGTCAACTAAATTCTTGCAACTCCTATTTGGTAATTCTAGTACAGTCACACTCACGGGTTGATGATCTGTCCAAAATGAGAGCCTTACAAACTAAAAGTCCATTGGGAAAAGAAAGTTTGTAGTGAAACAGTGAAGAAAGCAGCCCATGGTGCCTCTGCCAGTGAAAATGGAGCTCAGGGAGGCTGCGTGCAACCACCCCCTCAGGCTCCATTTTTGCTGGCAGAGGGCTGCAGGACTCTGCCGCAGCCGAAAACAGCCTTGATGAGTGATGTTGACCACGCCCACCCTGGCCAAATCCATCTCTACACTGACCCTCTCCCCCAAGGTCAAACACAACCCTGATGCGGCCCTCAATGAAATTCGTAATTTGTAATTTGTAATTTAATAAATTTATATGCCGCCCAATCCCGTAGGGCTTCGGGCGGCTTACAAATACAAGAATAAAACAAAAAATTTAAAAAAATGGGGAAAGGACGAGAACAGATTTAAAAAGAACACACCATACACTCGACTTAGATAGGGGCTGGACCTCATTCATGGGTCAACAGCCCCAGGCCTGCCGGAACAAACAGGTTTTGGTGGCTTTTTGGAAGGCCGAGAGAATGGGAAGGGTCCGGATCTCCGCAGGTAGATCGTTCCACAGGACCAGAGCAGCTACAGAGAAGGCCCTCCCCCGAGGGGCCACCAGCCGGCATTGTCTGGTCGACGGTACCCGGAGGAGGCCCAGCCTGTGAGTTCTTACCGGCCATTGGGAGGTATGTGGCAGGAGGCAGTCTCGCAGATATCCAGGTCCTAGGCCATGTAGGGCTTTAAAGGTGATAACCAGCACCGTGAAGCACGTCCGGAGACCAATAAGGAGCCAGTGCAGCTCGCGGAGGATAGGTGTAACATGGGTGTATCTAGGTACACCTGATATTGCTCGCGCGGCTGCATTCTGGACCAACTGTAGTCTCCGAACACTCTTCAGCCCCATGTAGAGTGCGTTGCAGTAGTCGAGCCTTGAGGTGACGAGGGCATGAGTGACCATTCAAAGTGCCTCCCAGTCCAGGTAGGACCGCAACTGGTGCACCAGGCGAATCTGGGCAACCAACACTGACTGTGACCTGTCTGAGAGGTAAGAGGAGAACCACCGTAAAACGGTGCCTCCCACTCCCACCTCTCCCAATCGTCGCAGAAGGATACCATGGTCGATGGTATCGAAGGCTGCTGAGAGATCAAGAAGTGCCAGGATAGAGGAATGTCCTCTATCCCTGGCCTGCCAGAGATCATCGGTCAGCGCGACCAAAGCAGTTTCGGTGGAGTAACCAGGCCTGAAACCCTACTGCAAGGGATCTAGATAGTCTGCTTCATCCAAGGTCCGTTGGAGTTGAAAGGCCACCACCTTCTCAACAACCTTCCCTACAAAAGGGAGGTTGGAAACTGGATG